AGTTATCACAAAGCTAGCGGTCTCCTTTGTTTTTCAGGTCCGTATTGGCGATTATAAAACGGACAGAACATAAAACACAAACCATGTTGTAATTTTCTCCTGCTTGTTGTTGTGTTTACTGACGAAGTCACTCGTGTGACTTTGTGCTTGGTCGGTGACAGCTGCTCCCCTGCTGCTTCGCGTCTCGTGGGAAGGGCAAAGCAGCAGCTTACGCGAGCAAGACGTGCTGCTGCAGTAACGTGCTGCTGACGGCTCCCGTGGAAACCTGGGGTTAGAGGTCATCTTGTTAAAGTCAAGCTCCATCATAATCTTTTGAAGAGCCTCAAAGGTGAACCTGAATCCTCGTGGATATTTCATATTAAGAGCATAACAGAGTCCAAAGACCATTGCCACTCCAGCTGACACAGAAGACAACTCATTCAGGACTTCCACACCATCAATGATTATCCCGATGTCTCGAGGCTGATGTAGGAGGCTTGAGTTGTCCCTGAAGACGAAGAGTGCCATGGTGGTACTCTGCAGCTCTTCCTCAGCTTCATCTTTCTGGGATATCTTGAGGTAAAATGTGGAACAAAATGTACAAGTGAAGAACTGAAGTCTGGCACACATGATAAATCTTTGACCATAATAAACTACTATTTTGATAGTTGCTTGGTCACAGACTGTTAGAACAATTATTTGACTAATCAGATTGTGAATTGCATAATTATTAAATTTAATCAATGGTGGAACATTTTCATAAATGTTCCACAAAGCCCAAGAAAAATAAGAAAACAATACAGAACCCTAAGATATTAACTTGATGAGTTGATTAATCGTTGCTGTTCTACATTAATCACTGCATTTAATAGCAGAGTTGTCAAATTTACATCAAGAGACTGCATCTCATGTAGAGACAGAACAGATATGGACATACCATGTATTCTTTTATCAAGTCCTCAACACGTTCTCCAAGGTAGATTATGAGAGATTTAAGTATACACTCCCTCCTAATGTCAGCATCAGCATCCTGCAGGAACAGTTAAAATTGTTACTATGCAATATGGATAGTATGCTGCATGAAAGGAATTTTATTTCACCTCTCAGATGGAGCGATCTGTGGTTTTGAAAGCATACAAAAAAAATAATGTTACTTCTCTATAAAACACATAACAGAAAAACCAAGAAATACGTAACATGACATACACATCCTTATAAAAAGCTAGTACTATAATTTGATTTAGGTTTACCAGTCTACAGACCTGCCATTAGCGACTAAGTTTGGCATAGGGTCAATTTTTTGCTGTTAAAATTAAAATTTCTTCAGAAAATGCACATTTTTCCGAGCCGTGCCTGAAAGTCAATTGAAGGAATTAGTCTTATGTCATTCATCTTATATGCTGGCGGGTTATTTCTGTCTCTAAATCATGCACATTAATAATAATTATAAGATATTTATATGAAGAGAGACAGAGACAAACGTGCGCGCACAAACACAACCTTTTGTCTAGAAACTGCGAGATCACCAGAAAAATTCAAACGAAGCGGAGCACGGAGTTATACTATGAATGTTATGAACTATGAACTTATGCTAGCTAGCTGTATCCACCACCGATGCATTGTGGTAACGCTAGCTAGTTAGTAAAAAAAATGGCTGGTAAAAAAAGGCTATTTGCCTAACTTGCATTTCCTACTAAGATGGTCGGTTGCTGGTAACCAGTTCTAACGTCGTGTCGGATAGCTAGCTAGCTTGTAGCTAGCAGCTACAATCATGCAAAAATTTTGGGTGGCTGTCGACCTAGCTTAAATGTGGTTATTTTCTGCAATTTTGGCAATACAAATTATAAAAGCTTTTGTAACACACTTGGCTTTACTTACATTTATTTTCAGATGAAATTAATCAAAGATGTGACACGATGTTTCCAGCAGCCATGCAGAACAAAAATGGGTCCCGGTTTCTGGTGGGCGTGTTCAAGTGCAAATCACTTTGACTCAAATTAAAGATCTTATCTGTTCAGCATGAAAAGAAATATATGTTTTGAGAGAAATCAAAAACTTTGTGTTGTGTCCTTTGTACAGATATTTAGTTTCATCCAAATGAAAAGTGGTATTTTAAAATGCAAAAAGAAAGGGTTTCACAATCAAATCAATGATTTTATTCTGTTTTGAATGGAACTTATTAGATTGAATGAATGACTGCATGTTAGACTTTTTTCAGTGTAGGCTGTGGGGTCATTGCAATTTGGTCTGACAATGGGAATGTGACATCCATCAACGGCACAGACTGTATTTGGAAAACCTGCCCTCTGAAATCCGAGCTATGAGGTGTGAAGCTGTTCACCAGTAGGCCAAGAAATGTGACAAATGTGTGATGACCAGGGAGCAGAAGTGATGGAGATGTGCAAAAACTGTAGATTTGGATACGTTAAAACGGTCCATCCACCACTCCCCTGTATGACTGCTGATTTTCCAGCGTCCACAGACAGGCAAGAACACTTTTGAACAGGGGTAATTTGGTGTGCTGTCTGTTCATGTGGAATGGTCCCAGTGCCATCACTAGATCCTAAATGGAAAAGTCAGAAAGTGAACATGATGTCTGAGCAAATATGAGTAGTGGTAACCATCACAAAAGCCTACCTCCACTTGTCCTCTGGAAAGTCTGAAGTGGCTTTTAAAGTCAGAATGACGGTACGTTCTCAACAAAGTGTTTCACTTTTGGCACAGACCTGAAATAAATTATATGCACATTATTCTAATTTACATCTGAAGCAGTATCTTCAAAGGCGAAATATGCAGCCTTGTTTAACTTTTGGACTATTTCCAAATGAGTTTTTAGATCTTAAACAAAGAAACGGAAACAAATGCACATGGCGGTTGTATTTGACGTTGTACTACTTTAATGCGGTTACCTACCTTCGCAGTTGATATCAATTTTCATGTAGAAGAATAGGTATTTCATCTGCATCTATTCCATCCACGCTAACGCGATATCTTCAGCCATCGTCACCCGCGAGCTACACATGAAAGTGTCCGGGTCACATGTAAAGGGTTAAATTGACCTAAATATTACCTTATTTATTATCTCTTGATTAAACATAATTGTACCTATTTCTGTGGTTAACTGTAAACAGTTTTTTGAAATGTTTCTCCTATTTTAACTGTTATATTTATAACAAGAAACAGATATTCGGACGGAATATTTTCCTGTTTATTTGAATATGATTGTGGAACACACCCAGCATCATAATAAATAAAGTAATATTTAGGTAAATTTAACCCTTTACAGGTGACCAGGACACTGTGATCAATTTTTGGCATGGGAAATGATCATTTGTTGCCATTTTTGAGGTGTTTATGAATGTGGAAGAGACCCAGCATCCTGTGATGGGACTAATAACATCAAGAGATAATAAATAAGGTAATATTTAGGTAAATTTAACCCTTTACAGGTGACCAGGACACTGATCAATTTTTGGCAAGGGAAATTATCTATTTTTATTTTTGCCATTTTTGGGGTGTTTATGATGATACAGTAGGCAGTATGAGTACAGTAACATCAACAGTAATACATAAAACCCTTATTTGGTCAATTTTAGCCTCCATGAAAATCTGAGCGATTCAATCACTTTTTGGCAAGTAAAATGCCATTTTAGTTGTCTACAATTAAATCATCAATAAAGAATTTAAAGATATTTTGAGGCGTTTCTTATAGGTAAACAGGAGGGTGTAGTCTCTATTTGGCAAGTGACAATCTTAATTTTATGTGCTGAAGTGCTTTTATCTTGTTTCTTTTAAATAGAGCAAAGTAATGTATAGATAGTAACCTACACAGTGTCATTAAAGCTTGATCAGTTTAAATACTGTTTTTCAAGTAAAAATGTACCCCATGTAGCGCCAGTGCCCTATACACTGGCACTACCTGGTTGCTGTTGCGGGTGGTCTTTACGTGTGCTTAAAGAAATGCAGCTTGAGTTTATTTCTGATGATCTTTATTACTTGTCTTGTTCCAGAATGTCCAGGATCCATTTACAGCAGTTAAATTGGTTTGCAGTGAATGCGTTACTTGCCCCAATGACAGTCCGCAGAGTCATTTACACAAAGCCACAGTCCTCGCCACACAGTAAAAAACAGTTTGTCCCATCCAGCCACACCTGAGTCCAATCTGTGTTGGCTTAAGTAGGCTGGTGCTTCCACAAGCAATTAACCAATAACATGAGGCCAAGCCTCCTCTCAAGTGCGTAAAAAGAAATGACACATATGGCTCCTACACCCCAAACTAGTTAATTGTGGCTCCATGTCAAGTGGACTAAAGAAAGGAAGGGGGGGGGGGGGGGGGAATCAAATCGCTGGAGAATTGTTTATTTACATTTATACAACGTTTACATTCAATACAGGGTGCAATTTTACACTGTTTATTTATTTTTTGTATCAAGGCTGTAACATAAAGATAGCCAGTTCTTACCACAAACCATCTTTCAATTGCAAATATTGCAAAAAGGATTAATATATCCTCATTGTGAACGTTTAAGACAAGTAGCAACACTTAAAACAACTTCCGAACTGGAAAAACTAATATCCGCGAAGAGGTTACCTCTGCTTTCTGAATGTCCATATTGCTAGATATGCTGAGTTTTAGGGCGAAATCCTGGGGAATTTCGTCTAGAAATGCAATTACCTAACCGTGCGCGATCCCGCGGTGGCTGATCATTTTTTGGCAGCGAGTCGATTTATGGCACACACCTGCTTTCAGCCACTCCCCCTGCTGCTTCCGTCTGCTCTCGTCTGTTTTCCAGGCGAGGCGCTGCTCAACCACGGCCCATGTATATGGGAGGTAGTAGCAGTGATTGTGGAAAGAGATCACAGACACAAGGTGTGTGCCCTTTTTTAACTATAAAACATCAATATTTTTTCTTTATTCGTTTTTGTTAAATTGCAAGTTTTAAAACACACGTTAGGCACAACTTAGATAAACTTGCAGAGTAGTTGTTAACGGTAGAACGGTAGAAGGTATGTACAGTCTGTGGGTAGAACCCACCTTGATGTAACACCCCCGGCAGGAACGAAGTGCGCATGCGCTTTGAAAACACATCTCATAACCAGAATGGATGAACTTGTTCTCTCCGCTGTTACGGGATTAACAAACGGTTAGTTATCCAGTTTATCCACGTTAGCAAATGTTCCTAAATCCACTGTTAGGTAAAACAGATTTAGGAGCTAGGCTGGTTTTTGTGTGGTTGTTATGACGCAGCACGAGTCATTTGAGCTAATCTGTTAGCCATCTTGCAGATTATTGTTAGTATCTGAGTGGATTTGTTGTTGGAGATTATTTGGTTCTGTGTCTGTTGGCGACTGGATTTTTGCCTGCTCAGACTGTCACTAAACGTTTCGCCTTCAGGCTCCTAATGGGGAAAGGTTGTAAAGTGGTGGTGTGTGGCCAGGCAGCGGTCGGGAAAACAGCTATCCTGGCCCAGCTGCTGTACGGAAACCACACCTTAGGTAAGGTGATAACCTCCCTACAGGACATTCTTTCTCAGTCTGGTCTCAGCAACATGATTATATTAAAACTAGGGCTAAACAATCTTTCGTTTTTGGACTGAAATTGTGATTTAAAACAGCACGATCACGTGACCGTCAAAGCTGTGGTTTTAGGGGTTTTGACTGATCCAGGATCAGTTGTGTAACTTTTTTTTTTTTTTACATACGGGGTTTTAGCGGGGTGTTACAGCGGCAACAAAAGCCAGCGCAGGGAAGGGGGTGGGGTGTACCGTCCAGAGCCGAGCCCAACTCCACAGCTGACAGAGCTGCATGTTCAGGTTATTTTCCCTGTTTTATGTCCCCACACACAGCGCTGCTAGAGCCGATAATAATGCACTGTAGGTGAGCCGGGGACGGAGAGAGAGAACGTAGTCGAGTAAGGGAGAGAGAGACTCCTCCCACATCTGAGCAGGTTCAGGCTGGTTTCTAAAGCTTGGTTTATGCTTCATCAGCGAGAGTGCGGAGTCGTGCACTTAAGTTGACTTGAAAGCTCAACTTCTCTTTAAAAAATGGTTTGAATGTTTCTGATGGCACACGTTAGTTCAAACAAGCTAAGGTGTCAGAATGCGTGCGTCTCTCACGGAACTGACGTTAGTGAGGAAAAACTATCAGATGGCTTCGAAAACGTGCAGCCAGCCTGCCTTGGTATTGCAGGGACAACTGTGCATTTTATATTTAATACATTTAAAAGCTATTTCTACCTACAGATTTCTTCCATGCATTTTTGGAGTAGAACATGTTTTTATAAAGCTCCTCTCTAGATAAAAATCACAAGCACAAGTTACTTCACAAAGGCATTAAAAAAAATAATAATAATAATGGCAGAAAATATTAATAGCTTTAACTGTTTTTATTGTATGATTAATAGTAAATATTAATGTGAATGATTTGTTGTTCTACACTCAACAAAAATGTAAAAGCAACACCTTTGTTTCTGCTCCGATTTTTCATGAGATGGACTTAAAGATCTAAAATTCATTCCAGATACACAATATTACCATTTCTCTCAAACATTGTTCACAAATCAATCTAAAGGTGGGATAGTGAGCACTTCTGCTTTGCTGAGATAATCCATCCCACCTCACAGGTGTGCCACATCAAGATGCTGATCCGACATCATGAGTAGTGCACAGGTGTACCTTATACTGCCCACAATAAAAGGCCGCCCTGGAATATGCAGTTTTGTCTCACAGCAAAATGCCACAGATGCCACAAGCATCGAGGGAGCGTGCAATTGGCTTGCTGACAGCAGGAATGTCAACCGTGCATTTAATGTTCATTTCTCCACCATAAGCCGTCTCCATCAGAGAATATGGCAGTACATCCAACTGGCCTCACAACCGCTGACGACGTGTAACCACACCAGCCCAGGACCTCCACATCCAGCAGGTTCACCTCCAAGATCGTCTGAGACCAGCCACTCAGACAGCTGCTGAAACATTTGGTTTGCATAACCAAACAATTTCTGCACAAACTGTCAGAAACCGTCTCAGGGAAGCTCAACTGCATGCCCGTCGTCCTCATCGGGGTCTTGACCTGACTCCAGCTCGTCGCCTTAACAGACTTGAGTGGGCAAATGCTCACATTCGATGGCGTGTGGCACGTTGGAGAGGCAGGGGCGTAGCACCAAATTCTGGGCCCTAGGTACAAGTCTTCCAGGTGGGCCCCCATGCTCAATTACTCAATATCTCTCTTACACATTTTTTGTCATGCTATAAGACAAGATAATAAATATGATCCTAGTTTAACCTCTATATTGAGCAAATACAAATGCCAGCATAATAAAAGTGAAATGCCCAGACTTCACATATAATTATTTTTATTTGCCAACAATGTGTTCAAACAAAAATCCTGGAATTTATTTTCCAGTAAATGCCCACTGACGGGTCTTCATGTTAGCAAAATCACTTATGAGATCTTTAAAGTCCAGTCCTTTGGCTAATTGGCTTTCAATAGAAAGAAGAGCTAGGCTGTTCAGTCTATCCTTGGACATTGTTGATCTCAAATAATTTTTCACCAGTTTCAGTTTGCTAAAAGCCCGTTCACCCCCAGCAACAGTCACAGGTAGTGTGCAAAATATCCTCAGTCCAATACAAACTTCTCCAAAAATGCTCTGTAATTGCATCCTGTATGGCATTAAGCAGCTCAAGAGGAGACCAAATGTGTGGGAATGTGGCACCATATATTGTTCTCAGGTGTAGCATCTCATTCCCAAATTCAGCTGTGAGATCCTTGTAATTTTTTCTCATCAGTGCCTGGCATGATATCTTCATCTGCTCTTCAGTCATGTTTGTCATGGTTCGTGATGTTAAGCTTTGCTAATACTGATATATCTTGATATATTAAATACATATGACATGAAATAAACCAGGTTCTCTCTGTGAATGTAATGTACTCTAAATTTTATAATCGCTGCATTATCAGCCAAATTATAAGATTGTCCGTTTTCAAGATCAAATATAAAGAAATTTAAAATAGGCTTAAAATATCTAACCAAGTCAATAACAATCCTCTAACACCAGTGTCATCATGCTATACGAAAAACAGTGGCAGCTTCACATTCCTGAGATTACCACGAATCCATCGATACCAAGTTTGTCCTGGTCCATGACTGGGAAGGAGCTGAACTATCCACACAGAGTGAACCTGTTTTTACTGCAAGGTCCGCGAATTAATTGGCGGCGGCCGCCCGCGATAATAATTCTGGTTAATATACAGGTGCTGGCCAGTAAATTAGAATATCATCAAAAGGTTGAAAATATTTCAGTAATTCCATTCAAAACGTGAAACTTGTACATTATATTCATGCAATGCACACAGACCAATGTATTTCCGATGTTTATTACGTTTAATTTTGATATTTATAGGTGACAACCAATGAAAACATCAAATCTGGTATCTCAGAAAATTAGAATATTCTAAAGGCCAATGAAAAAATGTTTGTTTCTCTAATGTTGGCCAACTGAAAAGAATGAACATGAAAAGAATGTGCATGTATAGCACTCAATACTTAGTCGGGGCTCCTTTTGCCTCAATAACTGCAGTAATGCGGCGTGGCATGGACTCGATCAGTCTGTGGCACTGCTCAGGTGTTATGAGAGCCCAGGTTGCTCTGATAGTCGTCTTCAGCTCCTCTGCATTGTTGGGTCTAGCGTATTGCATCCTCCGCTTCACAATACCCCATAGATTTTCTATGGGGTTAAGGTCAGGCGAGTTTGCTGGCCAATCAAGGACAGGGATACCATGGTCCTTGAACCAGGTGCTGGTGGTTTTGGCACTGTGTGCAGGTGCCAAGTCCTGTTGAAAGGTGAAGTCTGCATCCCCATAAAGTTGGTCAGCAGCAGGAAGCATGAAGTGCTCTAAAACTTCCTGGTAGACGGCTGCATTGACCCTGGACCTCAGGAAACAGAGTGGGCCAACACCGGCAGATGACATGGCACCCCACACCATCACTGACGGTGGAAACTTTACACTGGACCTCATGCAACGTGGATTCTGTGCTTCTCCGCTCTTCCTCCAGACTCTGGGTCCTTGATTTCCAAAGGAAATGCAGAACTTGCTTTCATCAGAAAACATAACTTTGGACCACTCAGCATCAGTCCAGTCCTTTTTGTCCTTGGCCCAGGCGAGACGCTTCTTGCGCTGTTTCATGTTCAAGAGTGGCTTGACACACGGAATGCGACACCTGAATCCCATGTCTTTCATGAGTCTCCTCGTGGTGGTTCTTGAAGCGCTGACTCCAGCTGCAGTCCACTCTTTGTGGATCTCCCCCACATTTTTGAATGGGTTTGTCGTCACAATTCTCTGCAGGGTGCGGTTATCCCTAGAGCTTGTACACTTTTTTCTACCACATTTTTTCCGTCCCTTCGCCTGTCTGTTAATGTGCTTGGACACAGAACTCTGCGAACAGCCAGCTTCTTTAGCAATCACCTTTTGTGTCTTGCCCTCCTTGTGCAAGGTGTCAATGATTGTCTTTTGGACAGCTGTTAAGTCAGAAGTCTTCCCCATGATTGTGGTGCCTTCAAAACAAGACTGAGGGACCTTTTAAAGGCCTTTGCAGGTGTTTTGAGTAAATCAGCTGATTAGAGTGGCAGCAGGTGTCTTCTATATTCAGCCTTTTCAGAATATTCTAATTTTTTGAGATACCAAATTTGGAGTTTTCATTAGTTGTCACTTATGAATATCAAATTTAAATGTAATGAACATTGGAAATACATTGGTCTGTGTGCATTGCATGAATATAATGTACAAGTTTCACGTTTTGAATGGAATTACTGAAATATTTTCAACCTTTTGATGATATTCTAATTTACTGGCGAGCACCTGTATATATATTAATTAGTGTTTTCACTGACAACACTAATTAATTTATATTTGATCTTGATGGTGAAACTAAAGGCGTTTAACACTGAACACCTAACATGATTGCAGCTTCTGAGAGCTAGCTAATATCAGCTAAAACTGTGTTCTGCTGCTGCTGCTCACCGTCCTTCTACTTGCTTCTGTTCAATTAACCTTTTCTCCTTCTCCTTCTTTTCTTTTCTTTTCTTTTCTGGAAGCCAGATTTCCCTTTCTTGGGAAAAGACATGACTGACTCTCCTGCCTCCAGCTCTGGCTGTCGGCATCTGCGATGTCTCATTAGCTGTACATGCGGCCGTGCAGCCCCTGGCTGCGGGTGTGGACTAAACCACTTTGCACATTTTTAAGGGGTGATAGATGCCTCAGAGATTATTCAGTTATTATTTTTAAGGCGAAATTCTGTTTCTTAACCTCTTTATCCAGGTAAAGGGAAGTTTATTAAGACATTAAGTAAGTTGGGGGGAAAAAACAACAACAATAAAACATTTTTATTCAAAGCTGTCTCAGGGCCCCTCCCTGCAGTGGGCCCTGGGTAAACGGTACCCTTTCCCCCCCAGTCCGACGCCCCTGTGGAGAGGTGTTCTCTTCACGGATGAATCTCAGTTTACATTGTTCAGGGCAGATGGCAGACAGCGTGTGTGGCGTCATGTGGGTGAGTGCTTTGTTGTGGATCGAGCGGCCCATGGTGGTGGTGGGGTTATGGTATGGGCAGGCATCTGTTATGAACGAAGAACACAGGTGCATTTTACTGATGGCATTTTAACTGCACAGAGATACCGTGATGAGATCCTGAGGCCCATTGTTGTGCCGTACATCCATGATCATCACCTCATGTTTCAGCAAGATAATGCGCGGCCCCATGTTGCAAGGACCTGTACACAATTCTTGGAAGCTGAAAATGTCGCAGTTTTTGCATGGCCAGCATCCTCACCGGACATGTCACCTGTTGAGCATGTTTGGGATGTGCTTGACCGGCGTATACGACAGCGTGTACCAGCTCCCACTAATATCCAACAACTTCGCACAGCCATTGAAGAGGAGTGGACCAACATTCCACAGGCCACAATTGACAATCTGATAAACTCTATGCGAAGAAGATGTGTTGCACTGCATGAGGCAAATGGTGGTCCCAGACCCCCAATAAAGCAAAAAAACTGCACATTCCAGGCTGGCCTTTTATTGTGGGCAGTATAAGGTACACCTGTGCACTACTCATGATGTCAGATCAGCATCTTGATGTGGCACACCTGTGAGGTGGGATGGATTATCTCAGCAAAGCATAAGTGCTCACAGTCACACATTTAGACTGATTTGTGAACAGTGTTTGAGAGAAATGGTAATATTGTGTATCTGGAATGAATTTTAGATCTTTAAGTCCATCTCATGAAAAATCGGAGCAGAAACAAAAGTGTTGCGTTTATATTTTTGTTGAGTGTAGATTACAATCAGACCATCTTTTCACTTAATCTACAGGATAGCTTGACAGGCTAGTGTTGGACCTTTGTTTGCAGAAAATCGTGAATTGAACCGAAATCGCAATTTCTGCTAGAAAAATTGCAATTGAATCTTTTCCTTAATCTTAGCGATGAAACTAATTGATTGTACTTTTATTCTTTATAGAATTTTTTTTAACTAATTTATTTATTTGTTTCTTTTTGCTTTTGTGATTGTCCTGCTCAATGTCAGGGTTGTTAAAGCAAGTTGTACAATGTCAAACTTAAAATAAAAAGTAAAAAAAAAATCTTTTCCTAAAATTGTTCAGCCCTAATTAAGACCCAAACAAACCAGTTCCCAGATTGTTTACCTTTCTGTTAACTGACAGTGCTGTTGTGATAGTTTTATCATTTCCTAGATGAATATTTTTGACTGTGTCCTGTACTGTCCAGGTTCAGAATCCTGTGAGACACAAGAAGACGTGTATGTGGCTTCAGTGGAAACTGATCGAGGTGTCAAGGAACAGCTGAGACTCTACGACACCAAAGGACTCCAAGAAGGACAAGACCTCCCCAAGCACTACTACTCAGTGGCGGATGGCTTCATACTGGTTTACAGCGTTGACAGCCTGGAGTCCTTCAGGAGAGTGGATGTTCTGAAGAAGGAGATAGACAAGTCCAGAGACAAGAAAGAGGTAAGGCCCAGTTGCTTAAAACCGTACTATGCTACTTTTACTTATTTTAAAATCATTTTCGTGAGCCAGTATGTGCTAAAGTATCCCTTTACATGGTTAATGAAATGCCACTCAGACGCCATCGCCCCCTGTGGCCAGAAGACCGCACTTGGAAATTCAAACTAGTAGCCGCTCTGTTGGGACTTGGTTGGGCTGACATACCTGGTGCTGCAGTCTGGTTCCACCACTCCTGTAGACGCTAATGAAGGCTGGGGAGACATTTCAGCTGTTAGATTGAGGTGTTAAAATTAGGGGTTGTACGAACTAGTCGACTAGTCGACTTCACGGCTCTGTAGTGACTTTTTATGCCTGTCATCAACTAGTCGCTGTCACGTGATAATGACTGACAAGATGCAGTCCTCGGAAAAGACAGCAGGTGATGAGCCCCTGCGCGTCTGGATCGAGGCGGAGGCGACGCGCTGTGCGGTACTGACACCGGCGGTAAAACGGACATTTAACCAAACTGTGACGTTTTCCCTCTTGCAATTTAACCTTCCCCTCACCCCCATCCTAATCTTAACCAGTTTGCGCATGCAAAGCTCTGATCGTTGACGTGCGCTCCAGACATTGCGTCCTGAGCACCGCCAAATCAGGTGTCACCACCTCAAAAACAAATTAAACACGCGATCGTTCATGTCGGCTCATTTCCTTTCATGTTTTCTGTCTGTTAGTTGTGCCTGATGCATTTCGCTGCTGCGGAGCGAGGCGCATCAGCTGTTGTCCTCCGGTGACGCACCCCCAAGATTCCACTATCTCCACTCCGCTCCGCTCCGGCACGAACTCCGCAGCAAAAACGGTCCCGTTGTAGTCGGCCGGCGAGCAGCGGCACTCCGCTGTTTTTGTGGTCAGTAGATCTTTTAGAACTGCAGTTCAAAGGTAACTCATAAGGTGAATATATATGAAGGCAGGTAGCAGTTTTTCTTTAGGATTGAGATGCAGGAAGATAATAAACAGGCAGGACAGAAAAATAGTCAAATAAAAACAAGTTAGTTTTTGTACCTGGTGGTTGCAACAAACAGACACCATTGAAGGTAATCAGAAGTGAGGAACAGAAAATGAAATCATTATTTTAATGTTTAGAGCAGCAGGAAAGGCTGCAGGCGCATCAGTGAGTTTGCGGCTGCTGCGCAGGGGGAGGGGGGAGAGGGCTGAAGTAGGATGCAGAAACTACCGTTGTTAAAAGAGATGTGTTAACTTAGCAAATGTGGGCGCAATTTTAATTGTCAAAAACTCCAGCGAACCTACCGACCGACACACCCCCCCCCCCCCCCCCCCCCGCCGCCGCTTCCGGCGTATGACGTCATTAACGACTAGTCGAAGTCAACTCGACTTTCATTACTTGACTGTTGACTTTAAAAAAAATAAAGTCGTGCAGGCCCTAGTTAAAATGTCTCTTCACAACGCAGAGACAGGTTTTATTTTCAGTTCGACCACAGAGAATTAATAACAGACACTAGGGGGTGCTAAAAGCACGCAAAACTGCCAAGTGTGCCTTTAAACATGGTAAAGTCGCCTATGCAGCAGCAGGAAGAGGATCCATGACTGTCTGGTAATAGCAAGGCCCTTGAATTCACCCTAGCGCCCCCTGTGGACGAGCTACTACTGTACTTCACCAGGATGGTGAGCTTTTCTTAGTGGTCATTACAACATTTCTAATTTACACAGGTCAGCAGGTCGGAAACGGCACAGACCTGTTGGTACATTGGTCACCCCTATATTTAACAACAACAAGGTAAATGTGGGTTTATATCAATCGTGTATCAAATATTATCTCAGGTCTAGTTTAAACTGCTTAGAGTTTCTCTGTCTTACTGACTCCTAACAATAAAACATGTAATGGTGAATGCTTCCCTGTCAGCAGAACGGGTAACAACCCTACAGGTGATCGGGGCGGGGAAACTCAGAGAGACCCGGGCAGCTGCGAGGCTCACATGGCTGCTGTGTTTCCAGGTAGCCGTTATCGTGCTGGGGAACAAAAGCGATCTGCAGGAGTGCCGTCAGGTGGACCAGGAGACGGCGCAACAGTGGGCACGGGGTGAGAAGGTCAAGCTGTGGGAGGTGACCGTTGCTGAACGTAACTCGCTCATCGAACCCTTCACCCAGCTGACCAGCCGCCTCACGCAGCCTCAGAGCAAGTCGGCCTTCCCTCTGCCTGGACGCAAAAGCAAAGGAACCGCGTCCAATGATATATGACCCCCCAGCTCACCAACTTATCAACACGGACTCTTGACCTTTAACCCAAATACACACACTCATCTACAGCATTAGCTTTACATGCTAACTCTGCACTCCTACAGCTAGCTTCCTCTTTCAGATCTCCTGTTTTCCACCCACTCAGACAGGAAGTGAAAAAACAGACTTCCTCCATCTGAGACGCAGTTAGGACCACTTCCTGGTGTTTCACATCACATTGTTTCCCAGACTCTGGGATGGTGCAGACAAAAGCGGAGTTCTCAGAGGTCAAATGGTTAGCTTTGTCTTTGCTTGGGTCTTTATGGTGAGCTACAGAGGTTCTGCTACCAAGCTCATTCTAGGACAACAATCCAAAATACTTCAAAAGTTCTCCTGACCTGCACTCCTGCTGCAGGTCACCAGTTCTAATCAGTGTTTTTACGTGTACGGCCATGCTGGTTTATAGTTTTGACCATCCACATCCCTGCAGTGTTTCAGCCAACTAAGGGCTTCATGGAGCCAAACACAGACTGCTTGGATTTCTTCTTTACTGAACCCAGGATTGCCCTGCAGCAGTTCTCTATGAACGCACATGTGTAATTCCATCCATCTAAACCAATCCCAAACATGTGGCTGGGCTCTAAATCAGCCCAAAAACTGAATCTGGTACATCTGGGGAGGAAGGCCACAGCAGCACGCTGCACTTTGGTTTCTGTTAGAGATTCACTTAGTGCACTTAGATTAGATTAGATTATTGCTGTCGAATATGGGGGAAAGGACCAATTTTAGCATCAGCAAGTTCAAAACCCCTTAGATTTAGTTCTGAGAATTCTTTTCTCCAGCACACAGATGTTCTACACGTGTGCTGGAGAGTCCAGCTGTACATCTTGACCCATATTTGTGTTGGAGCAAATTTATGATTTCGGAAGATTCCGAACCTGGAACCTGGATTTATCCCTGACCATCTCCGTTTGCATCCTGTTGACTTCATGTCCCAGCCAGATGGAGCAACGCCTCATAAAAGCAGCAGAACCCAACAACACCTGGAGGTTCTGGTTCCTGCGTTCAGTAAAAAGGACGAGTGGTACCCCAAAGTCCAGCCCGAGATCCAACAGACCAGAATTTGTGGGGTTCCCTAAGAGAGAATGTCTACGGAGGACATGACTCTCATGGAGATCCAAAGTTCTACTGGGTCAGAACCACTTAAGAGAGGAGAGAATGGGTCCAGTTGATCTGAATTAGGTTGGAACAAACTCACAACGTCTCTGTTGTGAATTTGATCCTACACAAACACGAGTAGAGAGACACAGCTGGAACAGAGTGGAAGCATCTAGAACATCTGGATGCTGAAGCAGGAACGTTTCAACAGCATCAAAGAGTTTTGGACCATCTGATGATACAGTCAGAACTCTTATGTTGGTGTGAAAACCCTGAAGGTCGTGAGAGGTTAGGACTAGACTAACAGCTGCATGCTCGGTCAACTCTCCTGGTCAGATTCATTCATTCATTCATTCATTCATTCATTCATTCATTCATTCATCTCTGGCCGGCTTTAGCAGGGCTGGCAGCAATAATGTCCATGGTACTGGTAGACTTGCACTTATGTTGCCTGACTGAGCTGTTAACCGTAGAGATAATCAGTGTTCAGAGCAAATATTTATTTTTTAACTAACTTATTTTTGTCACTTTAATGAACCACAGTCCTTGACTTGAAAAAATGCTGCCAGAGTCAGTGATGGTCTTTTAATTTCAGTGTTCGTGTTCTTCAGCTTATTCTGCTCGTATAATCTACAAAATGAAGCCTCTTGATATTAAAAACCTGTGAAACTCGACCTCACTTTGTCCTGTTTAAATCTTTACTGTGTGTTAGTTTTAAAGGTGTGGAACACTAAAAAAAACTTTTAATGATTATTTCTGATTATAATCAATCACTCTGAGATTTTCATGCAGGCTGAACATGAAAATAGTCTCCTACACCTATCTCCTGCACTAGCTTCTGATAGAAAACAGATGGTGAAACTATGATTAGAAAATCCTGACAGATCTGCATCACACAACATTCATACTGGCTAACGGCGGGGAAGGCTGTTGTTGGTTTAGCGTCCAGGAAACAGCAGGGAACATCTCGGCTAGCAGAAGCTAACCGTTAGCATTAGCAACTCCACCGCATGGCAGATCTCCTCCAGGCTTGTGTTATTTGTGGAGATGAAACATGACTGCATGCAGAGTCAGTGGTGGAGTTGTGTTGCTGTTAGCCGATCAATTATATTCAGTTTATTTAAATAGCGCCAAATCAAGACAAGCGTCGTCCCAAGGCACTTTGCAAAGTAAATATTCCGATAAAGTTCAGTACATTAATCAGAGGCAAGATAATGGTAAACAGCCTGTATTTGATATAGCACCTTCCAGAGTCCTAGAACCCCCCAAGGTGCTTTACAATACAGTCATTCACCCATTCTCACCCTGGGCAGAGCTAATCAGAGGCAAGATGTTAGAATATCAGGAAGTAAGACTCCACTTCCAAGGCTTTCATTCCTACACTGCAAATATGTTGGTTAAATGTGTGAAGCACACCTTTACGAATTCTAGCCAAGCAGTTTTAGCTCGTCCTACTGGCAGATGTTTTTACTCAAAACAAGAACATTTGATCATAGTTGAGTATTGACCTTCGTTGAACTAGTGCTGTATTTGCAGATTAGAGCATTTCTTTGTTTTTAGACTAAAAATAGGATAAAACTTCTAATAGAAAAGAGGCTTTTTAAAACTTTTTTGAGAGTCAGTTTTTGCAGTGTAAGGTATTAGAATTCTGCTAAAAAGCTTAAAGTGAAATCTAGAAACCGTTACCTGGTTTTTATAAGCCAATAGAGCCATCTAGTGGATGATGTGAGGAAAATCCTGTGGTTCCTAAACCCTTTAACCAAACCGAACCAGTTAATTAGATCTAGTCATCTTTGGTAGGTTGAAGGTACTGTCTGGTGTGAATGTGATGTCCGGGTCTTACACGGAGCCACGAGGGCTCGGGAGGGTCGACCTCCACTCTCCTTTAGGTCCGGCCCTGTCGACTCAACAGAAGGACCCGATTCCATCAGAACCAAGTTCACAGAAGGCTCAGAGCTCAGTTTCTCATCCTCCTATGTCAAATGTTCCAAAACCAGAGCAGACATATGCAATCATTTAACCTTCCTCCACCTCAGTGTGTGTGTGTGTGTGTGTGTGTGTGTGTGTGTGTGTGTGTGTGTGTGTGTGTGACTATTTTCTAGTGAAGAAACCAGCTGCTTTAGATCAAAGTTATTTTCTGTTTAAATAATAGTTTTGTTCTGCTGAATCGAACCGTGACGCTGGTCTTCATCAGTACTCGGTACCAGCAGGTACTGTAAGTACCGTATGTGGACTTAACTTGGTTTGGAAAACCGGTACATCTCTAAATAAAATGAGGTGAAAATCAGAGAAAGATCCATTGTCAAAAGTTTATGACTAAATTATATTTAAACACACTGCAGAGTCAGACCAGCAGGCGGCGTCCTGAAGAAACCAGTCAGAAACTGGCGGCACCTGGCCCTGTGTGCTTCCACTCAGCTCCACTCACCAGCCTGGTGTCTCCTTCCTGGACAAAGACGTGCATGCACAGTAATAACAGGACTGATGAATATTCATGTGGCCAGGAGAGCGCTTACTGCAGAGAGGTGGGAGGACAGCTGGTGGCGCACATCTGCATCAGGTAAACTGTCACAAACATTTCAGACGCTGTAGAACGTAGCTTCTGTTCGTCCTCACCAGTGCCAGCCCAGTTAGAAACTGGGAAAGGACATTTTCCTGGCAGGTCTGGTCTGAGGATGGCTTCTGGCTCTGTTTGTAGCAGGTTACACCCCCACTGTACATCCCTAAATCTGATTGTTAAAACAACAGTTTAGTAAACATCACATGATCAAAGCTTCAAACACACCATGTGATCTTCATAGGCTCTGTGATTGATTATTAATCCTGACTGGAGCTCTCAGCTACTGGAACCATTTTACTGCATACTGAATGAGTCTCAGTGTTCCTGGTCTCAGGGCCTACAGCTGTCACTGACGCGTCTTAAAAGCTATCCAGTCGAATCAGAGCAATTAACAGCAACGGTCCATGGAGGTCATTGTGATGACACAGCAGGAAAGGACAAGGAGGGCACGGTTTTCCTACAGGGAGGAAGAGGAGCACTGCCCCGAATCACCAGCAGATGTTTTCACCCTACGTTAGTGGATGTTAGCGGGGGCTTCAAAAGAAAACCAAACACCAGATGTTTTGTGGGAAGTTGTACAACAGAGACGGAGGTAAACATCACTTTGTGCAGCAGCGGTTTCACATGAAGAGAAGACACCAGAAGCAGGAGTGTGAGGCTCCTCAGACCCACTGCCGCCTCACCGTCCCTTCCTCTGACCAGCAGCACCCGTGTCTCATCTGCTGCCATAGCAACAGGGGACAACTTGTCCTTCATCACCTCAATGGTTCCTGATACACACAACACACACACACGCAAAGACACACTCGTGTGCACACATACACACACGCACAGACAACACACACACACATGCAAAGACACACTCGTGTGCACACATACACACACGCACAGACAACACACACACACACACATGCAAAGACACACTCACGTGCACACATACACACACGTGAAGATACACGTGCACACACACAGAAACACACCCAAAAACATGCACACGCAAAGACACTCGCGTGCACACATACACTCATGCAAAGACACACGTGCACGCACACACAGACACACACACACCCAAACACGTGCACAGAAAAAAAAACTGACAAATACACATACATGCAAAAAAAGCACATACACATACACACACATACACATACATGCACACACACACACACACACAGAGCTCTAACAGCACCTACTAGTTCAGACTGACCCAAACAGAGACTCTGCTCCTTCACATCGACAGAACATCATCTGGTCCTCTCCGGGTTTTCAGTCTTCCTGCTGTTTGTGATCGGTACCTTGCCCATGGACACCTCAACATGTAGTGGGGACGCTGAAATCAAACTACCATCTTCCTGAGAGGCAGCTCCTCATTCTGAGCCTCAGCTGCTGTTATTAATTTGATTTCAGCACAAATCTAAAGATCACACTGGAGGGAAGCCCTGTCACCAATCCCAGTCCTGCAGTCAGAACCAGATCCAATAGATGTCCTTTCATGGAGTTAATGCAGGATGTCTGTTTTGTTTTATTTCTAACATAGAAATGTTTGTTAAGGAGTTAATAGAGCCCTATTTAGCAGCAGAGTCTGACCCTACAGGTTACTGGAGACTCCAGACCGGGTTTGAGTTTTTGAGAGAACCTGAATTACTGGTAAACGCTGGAACACAGCTGGGTATTTGATCCATGGATAAACTCATACCAGAGGGTACTGTGTAGTCAGTGTGTTTTGCCCTCGTTCTGTCATATTTACACTTCCACAAGATGCTGTCTAACCCTCAGACGAGCAGGATATGCACATGACCCAGAAGTGTTGACATGACTAAAGCGTGCTTGTTCATGCTTCTAACACAAATTATTGGTTTGTGTGTAACACCTGCTGCCAGATTACACGGTGCTCTGAAGGCAGCTTACCGACCTGTTTACAACAAAATATGCACAGAACTTTAATTACTGATGGAGGGAATGGTGTCTCTTCCGGCGCCCGGCTGCATGGTGGCGCAGTTGTTAGCGCTGTTGCCTCGCAGCACGAAGGTTGCAAGTTCGAAACTTGGCTAAAGCCTTTCTGCGTGGAGTTGTGTGTTCTCCCCAAGCATGCGTGGGTTTCCTCCGGTTACTCCGGTTTCCCCCACAGATCACAACATGCCCTATGGGTCATAAATTGTAGGTCGCTTTGGGTAAAAGCGTCTGCTAAATGAATAAACAAACATACTTGACAAAAAGAAAGAACAAAAGCAGCCCAACAAAAATGCCACAAATTAAATGATCAAACGTTAAGAATGAGATAAGAGAAATGTGCAAAACTCAAACTTTACAAGCAATCAAGGTTTTTATTTCTTCCTAAAGGACAAAAAAACATGCTGAGATCATCTCTGAGAAGGAACACCAGCCACAAAACCCAGCCCCTTTCTGAACATGAACACCTACAGCTTTGTTTTACACAGCTGGGATGACAAAACCTTTCCACTAAAAGCTGCCAAAGAGCTAAAAACACCGTGTAGTGGTCGTTCCCACAACAACAGGTAACTGCAGGTTCACCTCCGCCGTGCTGGCAAGCAGAGACTGCAGCCGGGCGAGACACCGTCCCCTCCGTCTGGCTGCTGAGAACTCATGGTGTGTGTGTGTGTGTGTGTAAGTGTGCATTACCTTTATGAGACTATTTGTCCAAATGTCCTCAGTACCTTGGACCTATTCAACATTAAAGGCTAGAGGGCAACATCTCAGGAGGAAATCTGATGAATGAGAACCATGTGCAGGAAGTGATAATAAATACAATCAGCTGGCGGAGGTTGAATGAAAGTGACAATGGAAAATGGGCTGAAGTTCAACTGTCTCTGCAGTTCACAAGACTTAAGTAAACAAAACAAGGCACGCTGGGAATTCCATACATAAAGGACAGGTGCATTAAAGCAGCACTAAAGAGTTTTCAACACTTTAAGCTTTCTGGTTTCAGGGGTTCTTGAGCCGTGGGTTTCCTCCGGGTACTCCGGTTTCCCCCACAGATCACAACATGCCCTGTAGGTTATAAATTGTAAGTTGCTTTGGATAAAAGCGTCTGATAAATGAATAAACATAAACATAAACTTGAGCTATTTCATATTGGACAGCACTCTGTAGCCC